ATGAAACCTCATCTCCTCGGATGGGGGATCGATAAAAGCAGCATCTCTATGGGGTACTTCGCATGATGCTTGTGTTACCCATGTGACTTTCGGTCTCATCTCTTCGGAATAGAAATCATCCTCTCGATCGACATTACTTTGCCCTTGATACTCCTCATACTCATTAACATATTCCGCAGGCAGTATCGATATTACTCTGATTTGATGTCCATCCCAACTACCTTTATTTTTGTCATCAACAAAGTCTCTTACATATTGACCCCCAATTGGCATATTACTTTCTTTGAAGTTCCTATAATTATTGATCCTTCCCCAGTAAGGGATCCTTCCTCCTCTCCTCCAAGGCCTTCCTCGAAATCTCCTTTGGAATGTAGGGAAATCAGTATTTGATCCTTCATCATATGAAAGTCTGTCGAAAACATCATTATTTTGAAGTCTGCCCCTTCCTCCCCGAGGAGAATACATCTCTTTCCTAACCCATTGTTTCTGATTTCTACTAGCACCAGAACCAACAGATTTCTGCTGACTCTCCCCTACCGTTGCTTGGACTGTTTGATCTACTTTATTATTACAACTTTTATGTTGATCCTCCATTTTCTTGATTTGTCCTGTCCTGAAGGCTTTAGCAGTTGATCTGTCAAACACCGCACTGCATCGCGGACATAATGTCACACCTTCGTCCTTCTCTTTCTTTCTGTTTAAAAATTCGACGAGGGAATCTTCTGATTGAGGATAGATCTCTCTCTCGAATTCTTTCTCGAACTCGCTTAGGTCGAACTCTATGTCTTCTTCTGACATGTTCATTCTGACATGTCTGGGATCAATGTCTTCAGTAACATCGACCATACCTATAAAGGTCGAATTTATCAATCGGACCTCTTCATTCATGCCCGTATGGGATTCGACATACCCTACTTGAACTTCAAATGGACTCGTATCCACTTTCATTGACATCTCCTCAAACTTCAATCTTCCTTGGTCGATCGCATCTTGGATCGTGTTCCTGCAATGTATACAATTATTAGTCCAGTGTCCATAGATATTATGAAATTTGCAATATTTCCGACCATTTCTTTGTTCTGCAGAAGGTAATTTATGATCATCACTCAACTTAATCTGTTTATCTTTTAATAAAATATCGAAGATTTTATCTGCCTTTGTTACATCAAAAGTATATGTGTAATTTGCCATTTTGTCTTTCACTTCATTTTTCTGTAGCAGTTTACAAATATATGGAGCTCCTACTTTGAGCTCTGCTATATTTACTTTCTCATCGACAAATTCTTTAATATCTCCTTCTATCCTGGGATTTTCCTCATATATGTCATTTATATACGCTACCCTATCTTTCTTCATAGGTTTCTCAAATTTCTTGTACCTTTGTTTCTCGTATTCGATTTGTTCCACTCTTCTCACTTTATCAGCTAGCTGAGCCATGTCATTCAATGGTAAATTAACTAACTTTTTCCTAATCGAGAATTCTAAGCCTGCAGAGGCCATTTTGACTAACTCAAATTCGGGAATTTGAGTAAAACATCTTGACTTCATTTGTCTGAATCTATTCAAATAATCATCTACGCTTTCATGATTATATCTCTTTATATTCATTAAGTCGATAAGACTTACTTGAGTCTCCCCCCTAAAGAATTGCTCATGAAAATTTCTTTCCAGCTGCAACCAATTATATATTGAGTTAGGTGGCAACGACGTAAACCAAGTGAAAGCATTCTTTGTTAATGAACTAGGAAAGTATTTCATTTTTAATTCCTCACTCATCGCTAGGTCCCCACATTCGATTTGATATCGCGCCACATGCTCGATAGTGGATTCACCAATTTCTCCAGTAAATTTGGTGAATTTGGGTATTTTATATCCTCGAGGTAATTCTGTCTCAAGAATCGTATTTGGAAAAGGAGAAATAAAGTACTGTTGATTGGGTGGTCTTAATTCCACTCCTTGAGGATTCATCCTTTGTCCCAGCATGTGATTATACTGCATGTTATTTTGATTATACATATTTTGAAATCCCTCATTTAAATTTCCATAAGTATCATTCCTCACATGCTGATATTCATTCCCCACATGCTGATGTTGATCATTGTTTCGATTTCTCCTTAATAAATAAAGGGGATTGATATTAGCATTTTAGTTAATATTCTGATTGGCATTATTTTCGACCCTTGTTTGTCGAGGTATTGCCAATGCATCCCCGATACGTGTCATTTGGTCTGCCAATATCTCAAAACTAGTGGTAGTGTTTTGAACTAATGGGTTTAGTACTGTAGTCAACTGTTGTGATAACATGTTAACCATCTCGAAATTGCTTTCATCCATTTGTTGTCGAAGTACTCCTAATGAATTATTGGAAATTTCAGTACTAGCGTTTTTGATAGTCTCAAAATGGGATCGATGATAATCTCTATCGAATGTATATCTCCCGTGATCCAGGTTTGCTCTGTGATCTAGGTTTGATATTGGAGGCGTCTGTTGTGTTCCTAAATTCTGCGCATTCCCTGAATTCTAGGGCGTTACTAAATTTTGAGACACCCCTAAATTTGGGGAAACTCCAAAATTTTGAGGCATACCTAAGGTTTGAAATGTTCCTAAGTTTTTGGGCATTCCTAGGTTAAACTCGTACTTTGTTGTATTGAAGAAGTACCAGCCCCATTCATATTATTAAACGAAAAACCAGGCGGCCTTACACTCATATGCGGACCTGCATATGTTGTTACGGGGTTTCCCGTAGTTTGTATATTGTTTGACATTACAGTACTAGACCCTAACTGAGTGTTTGCTAATGTGCCTGAGCTTTGTTCAGTACTCACAGATATCGACGTACTCACAGTTATCGATATTACGAGCATGTTCCCATTGTGAACTTGCCCCTCAGTGTTTGGTGAATGTGAACTATTTAGAATCTCACTGTTATTCTGATTATTTGGTGGATTTTGACTCATTCTTATTACTTGCCCACTCCTTAATCTCATACACTTTCGAACTAGCCAATTGTTTGTGTTTTTCGACACAACACCCCTACCTGGCGCGCCAATTTGTTTCTGGTGAAAATTTTGGTTGTTTTCGATGTTCTAGAGATTTAGGTTCTAACCAAATTTTAACCACGCAAATTCTTTTTATTTAGGCTAGCAAACAGTATTTCAATCAAAACGTGTATGTAAATCGAAAATGCCACAGTATCGAGCCAAATGGAAAATAGAGCATGCATATTAAAAATACGGAAAACGCAACATAGCATACGTATCGAAATCAAAAGTACTCTTTTTGTATTTTTTTTTTATATTAAAAGACTCGAGCAAATGAAATTTAACAGAAAGTAACGCATAAAATTAAATTGCACTAAGAGTAAATGACATGAATTAAAGTGTGCATAAAAGTAATCGACAATACTGGAAAGTAAATTAAACATGCGAGTAAATAAATTACTGAGAAAGTAAAGAAAGCATTAAATGCAGAATCTTAAACTGGCAAAAATGTAAGTGCAAAATCTTAAAATTGCATAAGTGTAAATGCAGAATATTTAAGTTGCATAAGTGTAAATGACGAGGAATTAGTAAAAGACAAGTATGTAAATGCAGAATCTTAAATTGCATTAAAAGTAAAGTACCAGGGAAAGTAAAGAAAGCGGTAACAAAACTCAATGAAAATGGAAATCCAGATCGCCAGAAACTTCATGATTTGTCGTTTTCCAGTAGACTTTTCACTTGTGTTTCTGTTGTATCTGTCAATTTCCCCTTCTTCTTCAAGATTCGTTCTATTTATAGGCATCCTTTAATGTAACCTCCTAAGCGCAGTTAAAAAACTGTCGTCACGTTCCATGTGCACGTTCCTCAATTTTTACCTTAGCTTACGGTTTAGAAAACCGCTTCCACGTTCCATGTGCATTTTAACCGTTCCTTGATTTCTAACCTTAGCCACGATGTGAAAAACCACTCTTCATGTTCCATATGCATGATAACCATTTTCCTCGATCTCGATTCCAGTTATCGAGTTCGATTTCCCTTAACCTTGACTTTACACTGTACTTTATCATTACTCTCATCGATTTGTTTCTCTCTTTTCTGGTTCTCGATTTCCATTCTCGATTTATATGTTCATATTATCTCGTGATCACCAAGTGTCTTCCAATCATCTTTCCGATTTATCAACTTTTTAACCAATCGTATGATCTTCGATTTTCTCTCTTCTGATTTTCGATCCTTGTATCGATTTTTCACTAATAGTATGTTATTTTTAATTGTGATGAACCTGTGTTTATAGGAGAGCAAATTTTATAAATGATAGAAGTTAGTAGGAGTAGGTTTATAACTAAGAATTGTATAAATTTATGTTTTGTTTATTTTTAAGATAATAGATATATATTTATATATTTTTTTATGTAAAGAAAATGTATATTTTAAATTACTCTGTATTTTAATTATATATCTATCATATATGTAATTTATGGGGATGTTATATAGATATATAATTTTAGATTATATTTATTAATATAAATATATGGTTTTAATTTATTAAATATAAGACAATATAATAAAAAAACAGAAACACTCGTTAATCTATCAAATGTGTATTATCATTAATAACTTAGATTAACTTAATTATGTTTGAATTGAGGAAGAAAAACTTGATTCTATTTTAAATGTTAACTAATTTTCAATCGTAGATTGAATTAAGTTAACAAAATGAATGGTATAAAAAATTAAAACCGGATTAAGATTAAGAGACGGATGAATTTGTCCGTGACGGAAGCACCTGCCACTGGAACGCGGTCAAACCGTCAATAAATGCGGGACAGAGGATTACGGAACAAGAAGGAGCCACTCGTTCGTAGCTATTCAGCCTTGGCCTCCTTTACTTTCACTTATCACGCTTTCTGTGTTTCTTTTTTTTTTTTTTTTTTTAGGGTTTAATTACGATAATAACAATAATAATATTATCAGAGAGATTAGATCGATTGATCCATCCATAGATGTTTCTAAGAAACGATGAAGTTCTGCAAGACCTACCAGCAGTACATGCAAGGGCAGGGCCATAAACTCCCTGCTGTTGGCTTCAAGAAGCTCAAAAAGATCATGAAAAGGTGCAGGAGAGCCTCCACACCCACCTGCCCAGATCGTTGCCCAGGTCTATTGCATCAAAATCTATTAGTTTACATGTCACCATCGATTATCTCAAGAAAATAATTATTTTTAGGCACTAGGGAATAATTTATAATGGTAATGATTTATAATTTTAATTTACAATTATGGTAATAATTTTAATTTGTTTCCATTGATATTTTGATGAAGATGATTTGAAATTTATAAGTTATGATTTTCTTTGGAGTAATGTCAAAGAAGTATGTTCTTAATTTAGATTCGCAGAACTGTAATTGTATAGATAGATGATCATATACTGTATTGTAGTCATAAGATGATAGTAAGGAGAGAGATCTCTTTTTCAATGTCTCCAACGGCCAAAAGCCTGTACGCTAACTTGATTAATATTAATTATTCAGTGTGCGATGGGACCTTTTTCCCTTCCCTTCTCAATGAGATGTCAGACATAGTAGGATGCTTTAACCAGCGAGCGCAGGCATTGCTGGAACTACATCTTGCTTCTGGCTTCAGAAAATACTTTCTTATGTTGAAAGGAAAATTGCAGAGGAATCATAATGCTCTAATCGAAGAAGGCAAAGATCTAGTCATATATGCACTTATAAATGCCATTGCAATTCGAAAAATATTAAAGAAATATGACAAGGTGTGTCTAGATATCAAATTGTTTCCTGTTTCTTTCCCGTACTAGTTTAAGTTGAGTTTTGACAATCCATGCTAACCCGTGAGCTTTATTACAATGACTGCAGATTCATTATTCCAAGCAAGGCCAATTATTCAAGTCAAAAGTCCAGACAATGCACAAGGAAATTCTTCAAAGTCCTTGGCTTTGTGAGCTTATTGCCTTACACATTAACTTAAGGGGAAAAAAGGCCAAGTCAAGGGAGGCAGCTGCACTATTTGATGGATGTTATCTCACATTCAAGGATGGAAAACCTTCACTTAGTTGTGAGCTCTTTGATTCCATCAAAATTGACATTACCCTCACATGCTCCATATGCTTGGTAAGTTACTTGGTTTCATTGGTTGGATGAATTGCTCGTTTTATGTGCATTACACCCATCGTGTATGTTTTCATTTGGATTGCACACATATACGGAGGTTGTCTGTTTGAAGATTACCGCTGCTCAGATGCAAGCAGGATCTAACCAATTTAAAGGGGATGCGCATGACAATCTGAACAGAACATAGCTTTATGTTTCCACCAAACCTCATGCTTACTTGCAATCTATCTTATTTTTATATGGATTGAAATATATTTAGCTCTGCCAATGGTTTTCAGAATCCAGACCTCCATATATTGTCCAATATTTTCCCAGCAAATTTCCCTAAAGCACTTGACTCTGGTTTAACACCCCCTTAGTTTCTTCCATATCAACATACCTTCTCTGCATGAAGACGCTCTTGTATGGTTATACAGTCTTTCACTATTCTCTTGATAATTTTCATGACTCTTGATTGACAGGATACAGTGTTTGATCCAGTTTCTTTGATGTGCGGTCACATATTCTGCTACTCCTGCGCTTGCTCAGCTGCATCAGTCACCATTGTCGATGGACTTAAGGCAGCAAATTCCAAACAAAAATGTCCTCTTTGCCGACAGGTAAGAAACCAGATTAGTAAGCATTAAGCTCTCCCACAACTTGTTAAAGGAATGTACTATAGCGGAGATGATTGGGCTGATTAACTTCTATTAATTGATACACATAGGTTTTACTTAATTATGACTCAATGACCAAACAAAGTTACAATCCCAAAACAACATCTTTTAATAACCATACCTGCTGCGCAAGAGACCAGTTCTGTTCTGAGCTTCGTTTGGCGTTCAATTTAATGACTACACTACATTGTTTTGTACAATTTGCTAAAGCTTCGTGTTAGAACTTGAAAGAGAATTTATCAGAAGTTGTAATATTGATGATAAAGAGATCAGATTACAATCAAAACTGAATGTAGAAGGAGAAAGAATTTTCCCAACGGATTCCAACTATCCGTTCCAACTAACTTTTCCCAAAGTCCCAAAATAACCTCCTTTTACAGAGGAGCATCACCTCTTATTTAAATCTTTTCCCTAACTAACTACCATCATCATTTAGCTAATTTTTCCTCTACTTACAGCTTGGAGTCCGTCTGGAATACACGTGTTTAATTGGAGGTTTTGGCCTTACTAGCTGACGGACTCTATCAATACTCCCCCCTATGAGAGTTAACTTGTCCTCAAGTTGAAACTGTGGAAAACTGGATTGTAACTGGGATACACTCTCCCAAGAATTATCACAAGGTGGCAGATCCGCCCATTGAACTAACACCTCTGTCCGCCCTTGTTGATTATGTCTCCACTGTAGTAATTCTTTAGGCTGGACTTGTAATTCTAACTCCTCACTCAACATTGGTGGCAAAGGTTGGATTTGTTGAGTGGCTTTAATAGCTTTTTTTAGTAAAGATACATGGAAAACTGGATGCACCCTAGTATGCTCCGGTAAAGCTAACTTATAAGCCACCTCTCCAATCTTATCAAGCACTTGATAAGGACCATAGAATTTAGCTGATAGCTTGGCAAAAGGTCTGCTAGCCAAAGATTTCAGTTTATATGGATGCAGCTTCAAATAAATCCAATCACCTACCTCAAACTGCACAACTCTCCTGTGCTTATTGGCTTGAGATTTCATTAAATCTTGTGCTCTCAATAAATTTTGTTGCAATTTTGATAACATTGCATCTCTCTGAAACAACAATTGATTGACTTCTTCCACTTTAGAAGTAAAAGTGCAGCCCTTAATCAACATAGGAGGGTCTCTACCATAGAGCCTTAAAAGGGGTCATGCCAGCTGAACTATTGTAGTTAGTGTTAAACCAAAACTCAGCCCATGGTAACCAATCAACCCAAGATTTAGGTTTTGGTCCCATAAAGCATCTCAAATAAGTTTCTAGACTATGGTTGACTACCTCAGTTTGGCCGTTCGTTTGAGGGTGATAAGCCGTGCTAAGTTTAACTTTAGTACCCGCCAACCTGAACAATTCCTTCCAAAATTGGCTGAGAAAAATTTGATCTCTATCAGATACTATTGATGATGGAAAACCATGAAGCCTGACTATTTCTTTTAGGAAAACAGTTGCTATTTCCTTGGCTGTATAGGGTGTCCCAGAGGGTAAAAATGGGCAAATTTGGTCAGCCTGTCCACAACTACCAAAATGGTGTATTTCCCTTTTGATCTTGGTAAACCTCCTATAAAATCCATAGAAATATCTTGCCAAACTTGTGTTGGGACAGGGAGAGGCTGCAGTAAACCTCCAGGACTCAAGGTTGAATACTTCACTCTTTGGCAAACTTCACAGGCTTCAACGTACTTTTTAATATATCCCTTCATACCCTCCCAATAGAAAAAACTGGACACCCTTTTGTAGGTTCTAAAGAAACCAGAATGACACCCAATAAAATCTTTGGACAGCACCAATCTACCCTGATACAACAACTTACCATTCTTATAAGTATACCCTGAATGAGCCTCTGGATTTAGGAGCAAATCCTGAATGATTTGATGCCACTTAGGATCTGATTGAACCTCCTCTAACCACTCCTCAACTTCTGTCATATTAACCACTGAGAGTGCAGAATACATCTCTCTCCTAGAAAGAGCATCAGCCACTGTGTTTTCCTTACCAGGTTTGAATTGAATTTCAAAATAAAACCCTATTAACTTGACTGCCCATTTAAACTGCTCCTCACTGAAAAATCTCTGATCATTCAAAAATTTCAAACTTCGTTGATCAGTCCTAATTATAAAATGATGGCCCATCAGATAATGCTTCCATTTTTTAACTGCCTGATCCAACGCCATAAGCTCCCTTTCATAGACTGATTTCTGTTGAGCTTTAGTAGAAAGGCCTCGACTCCAAAAAGCTAAAGGTTTCCCTTCTTGCATCAAAATAGCTCCAATACCCTTACTAGATGCATTTGTTTCTATGATAAACACCTTGAAAAAATCTGGAACAGCTAAAAGTGGCAAAGCAACCATAGCATTTTTCAGTTGTTGAAATGTTGTAGTAGCCTCCTCGCACCAATAAAACCTATCTTTCTTAAACAAATCAGTAAGAGGTTTGGCTATTTTGCCAGACCCTTGGACAAACCTTCTATAGTACCCCGTGAGTCCAAGGAATCCTCTTAAGCCTTTAACATCCTTTGGTATAGGCCAATTTCTCATAGCCGCTACCTTGGCCTCATCAGCAGCCACACCCTTCTTTGAAATAACATGCCCCAAATATTCCAAGCTTTTCTGTCCAAAAGTACACTTCTTCAAATTAGCTTTTAGAGAATTATCCCTTAAAGCTCACAGTACTTTTTGCAAATGGTCTATGTGAAACTGCTCATCTTGGCTATATACCAAAATATCATCAAAAAATACCAAAACAAACGTTCTCAAATAAGGTCTAAGAACCTCATTCATCAATGCTTGAAATGTTGATGGCGCATTTGTTAAACCAAATGGCATGACAACAAACTCGTAGTGTCCCTCATGAGTTCTAAATGTTGTCTTTGGTATATCCGTCTCCTTCATTCTTATTTGATGGTAGCCAGATTTGAGATCAAGTTTGGTAAAAATAGAAGCCCCTCCAATCTCATCCAATAACTCTTCTATGATTGGAATAGGGAATTTATTGGGAATAGTAATTTTGTTTAAAGCCCTATAGTCCACACAAAATCTCCACCCTCCATCCTTCTTTTTGACTAATATGATAGGACTAGAATAAGGACTGATGCTATGTCTTATAACTCCTGCCATCAACATTTTCATCACTAGTCTTTCAATCTCCGTTTTCTGATAGTGAGGATACTTGTAAGGCCTTAAATTTGGAATTTTGGATCCCTCCTTCAATTGAATTGCATGATCATGTCTTCTACTAGGAGGTAGACCCTGTGGATCTTGGAAGACATCCTAAAAAGCAACAATTTCTGCACAGTAGCTGGAATTTTCTGCTCAATTTTTTCCGAATTAGTTGTTGTCCCACATTGCAACAACAAACCTTCCCCCTCTGATTGGAGCACTTGCATGAATGCCCCAAAAGACAATTCAGTCTTGGTCATAGCAGGATCCCCTATCACCTTGATCAACTGTCCCCCTTGCTTTAAAGTCAGTTCAAGTTTGCCAAAATCTGTCTTAACTTCTCCCAGACTGGACAACCATTCTAACCTCAAAACCACATCAATTCCTTTTAGTCTAAAAAGATAGAAGTCTTGGACTATTTTGATCTGATGCATCATCATCATTAATTGAGTACATTTTCCCTTGCATTTAATTTTATGTCCATCTCCCACCTCCACTATGTATGATGGTGTGTCTTCCACTCTCAACTCAAGCTGCTCCACCAATTCCTTTGCAATAAAATTGTGTGAAGCTCCACAATCAATCAGGATGATAATAGACTTATCTCCAATTTTCCCTCCCACCTTCCAAGATTTGGTTGTAGTGAATCCAGTCATTGAACACAAAGATAATTGTAGTGCATTGAAATTCCCCAACACTGTTTGATTCTCATCTAAGCCTTCCTCCTCTTTATCCTCTTCTAAAATAATCATCCTCAATTGTTTATTTTTGCACCTATGCCCCCAGTTAAAAGGCTCATCACATCTGAAACATAACCCCTTTTCTCTTTTCTCCCTCATTTCAGCTCCGGTGAGATGTTTAAACTCTCCTCCTCGGCTTCTTGGTCCCTCTCTTGACTGTCCTGAATTTATTTGTGGAACCTTTACCCCCAATCTCACAGGTTCTGTCTTCTTTTCAATCATATTCTTAGATTCCAGCATCACAGTTCTATTATAAGGGCCGTTTCTATCATTGTCATATGCTCTAAAATTTTGCGAATTATTCTTCTTATTCAAAACCACATTCTTTTGTTCAATCATCAACGATTTTTGAATTACCTCGGAAAGTGTGTTGAGTTCATAGGGTCTCAACTCTACTTGTATTTCTTCCTTGAGTTCGTTCATGAAAATGCCTTTGACAAATTCTTGATCTATCTCCCTCAACGCCCCCGCATATTTCTCAAATTCTTCTATAAATTCCTCCACGGTTCCTGTTTGTTTCAAAGACAACAACAATTCGAAAGGATTTTGAATCATAGAGGGCTGGAACCTCCTGATTACAACATACTTAAACCCCTCCCAATTAGGGTTTGGGTTACATCGTTCCCACCATTGAAACCATCTCAATGCCCTTCCCTCCAGAGCCACCATAATAGCTTGCATCTTCTCCTCATCACTCACGCCTTTCACAACAAAATATCTCTCCAATCTATGAGTCCACCCATATGCATCTTCTCCTGAGAAAACTAGAATTTCTAGTTTCCTCCATTTTCCAGAATCGTGATGCTCTGCTCCAGAGCTTCCTCCAACCATCTCACGTTCATGTCCACTAGAGGCGTCTTCTTGGCCTATCCCCAATTTCGCTGCAATGGCCATCAATAATTCCTCATTCTTCATTGTTCTTATCTCCGCTAATTCCAATCGCGTGATCATCTCCTCGCGTTCGTGCTCCCATTCAACAGAATTTCTCGCCATGCTCCTCGTCCTCATGCGCAACTCCAATTAACTTTCCAGAGCACCAAGATCGGTGCTCTGATACCAATGTTAGAACTAGAAAGAGAATTTACCAGAAGTTGTAATATTGATGATAAAGAGATTAGATTACAATCAAAATTGAATGTAGAAGGAGAAAGAATTTTCCCAACGGATTCCAACTATTCGTTCCAACTAACTTTTCCCAAAGTCCCAAAATAACCTCCCTTTTACAGAGGAGCATCACCTCTTATTTAAATCTTTTCCCTAACTAACTACCATCATCATTTAGCTAATTTTTCCTCTACTTACAGCCTGGAGCCCGTCTGGAATACACGTGTTTAATTGGAGGTCTTGGCCTTACTAGCTGACGGACTCTATCACTTCGCTAGCTTAATAATTGACTTCTTCTACAATTGAAACTTTAGATCTGGAATAATCAAGTAGCCCTTCTGTAATTCTTCAACTTCTTTATTTTAATATTGTGAAATTGCAGTTTAGAGGATTAATTGCTTACTTATTTTAGGCAATTGAATGCTGACGAACTATATTTGAACCTGTTAGAACGGCTAGCAACTAACACCTTTTATTTTGTTGACTGCAGGAAAGAGCTTACGATGATGCTGTGCACTTGGAAGAATTGAATATTCTGCTTGGCCGAAGGTATGAGGTTATTCTTAAAATCGGATATTACCTTGTAGTGTCAGAGACTTGGATTTATTATGTTATTGTTTAGCGTATGTTTGGATTGTGATTGTGATTCTAGTTCTAGTACTTATGATTTATATTTTAATTATTGATTAATACTATGAGTGGGAGATTGTTAAAATAATTATTGTTGATTGGTATCAATCAATGATTATAATATCATCTTGTAATTACTGATGATTAAATATTCAATTAATTTCTTGAAATAAATTATGGAATCATGAAAAAATTGGTCTTGTGATAGGATAGGTCCATTATAAGAAAATAACCCATTAAGAGATTCCTACCTACTACTATGTGATTATAACTTTGTTATTTCATTTAGCAAATTGATTCATTTGACATCCACAAAATGATTCCGTGAAAATGGACAGAAAACTATAAGAAGAAAACGAGTTTTATAAATGTAAGACTTTTCCGATGGAGAATGTGAATTGAAATTAGTGTCTAAATATTTTTATTAATACTATTATATATATATATATATATATATATATATATATATATATATAATTAAATTTATCATGTGGACCTCAAGACAAGATATTTTTAAGGATCATTTCAAGTACTACAATGTCACAAGGTGGAAGATTGATTTTCATGTGTCAAAGCCGAAAGAGAAATACTTTAAAGATAATTTTAACTATTGCAAGAAGCATGGCTACATAGTGGAATACTGCTTTTCTTGTTTCTTTTTTAGAATATAATAATCTTCTACATTCGGTCATACTTCTTACAATACTTGCACTTATCCTTAAAGTAGTAATCTTTCATCCTATAGCCATACTTCTTGCAATATTTGCAAATTACCTTTAAAGAAACTCTTCTTTGGTTCTATAAGCTGTGCTACCTTTCTTACCTTCATCCTTTTGAAACTAAAGTAGATGCATCAAATTGGACACTATGACTCGTGTACTTCTTCACTGACTTCCTCTTGAGTGATTATAGCAATTGGTTCATCCACTAAGCTCTACCCTTGTGAACATGCTTTTTTTGCAATACTTGTAATCACCCCCTTAAAGTATTTATTTTTTAGTTCCACGTGATGAATTTGATAAAGAGTTTAGACGCCAACCTAAATTTGTGTTCTTCATTGGAAAACGTCTTGTCTTACGTTGATGAAACTCATTTTCTGTTTGAAGTTTTCTGCCCATTTTAGTAGGACCTCTAAATTGACTATTTTCTTATAATCGACCAATCCATCATAATACCAAATTTATCAAAATCTAATAATTTATTTCAAGATATCAATTAAATATATAATTATTGAATAATTAAGTTAAAAGATGATATTATAACTATAGATTGATAGCAATCCACAACAATTATCTTGAGAGTTATTTTATTAGCAAATGAGTGAGAGCGGAATGATATGTCATGTGGCCAAGGGAGAGATGGATGCAAAATCCGCATGGACTCAGTGATCTATCATTTCAGCCTCCATAGAATAAAGAATTTTATTTTGCATTTCTCTTAATCTAACAAATTTCAATATTATTACAGCTGCAAAGAGTACTGGGAGCAAAGGCTTCAGATGGAAAGAACAGAGAGGGTTAAGCAAGTGAAGGAGCACTGGGAAACGCAGTGTAGGGTGTTCGTGGGCATCTAAATATAAACACTAGTTCACTTTCTCTTTCATTTCCATATTAATCTCATTTTCTCCCTACCTTATGATATCAATCATCACATCCCATTCTCTTTCATTTCCTTATTCATCTCATTTTCTCCCTACCTTATGATATCACTCGTCACATCCCATTCTCTTTCTCTCTCTCTCTCTTTTTTTTTTTCTTTTTCTTTCGATGCATTTCTTCTTTCCAGCCAATCCCATTTTTCGAGGTGAGTTTATCATTACCTAACGTCTCAATACACAGCCAATTTATTTTGGTTCTGTATCTTAGCAGTAGCAATTCTAAGTTGTTAGTGATAGTGTTTGTACCTGACTCGGTTCAATGCAAATAAAGGCCTCTATGCTTTAGGAATTACTACCAATGACCATTTATAGGGACTAAAACTAAAGCATTTCTTTGATTTTGTGTCTTAGCAGTAGCACTTCTAAGAAGTAGTTATTGGTATGGTAGTGTTTGTACCTAACTCTGCTCAATGTAAATAAAGCATTATACTTCAGCAATTATTATTAATGACCATTGATTTACTAGAGAAAACTTGTGCGTTTCATGGACTGAAGACTAATTCCTAAAATGTATTGTCAATATTTATTTTTAATATAATAACAAAAAAAATGAATGGAACAACTGCAAGTTTATTGTGAATTTTGTTTTCAGTATAACTGTAAAAACAACTATAATTTTATTGTCGATTTTTATTCTAAATACAATTAAAAAAAATTAAGTGTTCCTAACACAAGATATATAATTCTTTTTGACATATTAATTAAATAGTTAAATATTTACTCAGATATCGTTAGGTGGAGAAGATAAGAAACATGACTTTTTTAGATTATTTTTAACTAAAATAATTTCTTTAAATGCAAACTATTATTATATTTAATTAGTTTTTTTTCAAGGATCCTTTCAAAAGTAAAAACAGTTGAATCCCCTTCTATTGAATCATATTTTGATTGGCGGATTAGAGAAAAAGATAAACGAAAGCGTGATCTTGATGCCTACTCGCAAACAACCAAGAATAGAGATGTTGGCTTCGTGTTTTTTTTTTTTTTTTTGTGATGTCTTTGATTATGAGTTATGAAAAAAGCGGTCTTTGGAAAATTTAACTGAATATAATAATATTTTGCATTAAAAAAATTATTTCCATTCTAAATGCAAAAAATATACTTAGATAACTAACCAATTGCATTATGGTAAGCCAAATTTCTACAGTTTACTGGAACAAAATTCGGCAATACATGTCATGTGAAAAATATACATGATTGACATGTCACTAGTGTTTAATAGCATAAGCAACAAATCGGATTAAAAGTCAGAATAAAGATTTATTGCATGAAAATTTGTCATTCTTTTTTATACTAAAAAATGAAAACTGACATATTCTTATACTAAAAATGAAAAATTACAATACGCGTTATACAAAAATCATATTTTATCGCAATTTTAATTAAGCAGCATACCCAACGATTAACTGCACTAACTAAAAATAAAATAATATTCGCAAAAATATAAAAACGTATATGTAACAAATTATAAAGAGTTCGAAATTCAAATCAGAAAGTTGTAGGAACTGAAATATACTTGAAATCCAAACAATAAAAAAATTTGCCATGATCTGCATGCCACTGCACAAGAACCCTCAATGGAAAAATAAAAGGGAAAAAGAAAACTCCCCTGTAGGCTGTAGCCAATACATGATTATATAATAATAGCTCACCCTCTCTTGCTCGTTTTCATGCATCAAGCATCATAGATTTGTCATTGAATTGGTCACTGCACTACAACTAATGAGAGAAAACACGGTGCTGCATAGTAAAATCTGTAACTTGTATTAATTTAAACACACTTCTTAGTTATATTTAACTACTTCAAGTTCAATTCCACAACGAAAATGAGCAACAATCTTGGTGGTAGCAGGTTAGGAAGACAAGAACACTCATCTTTCACTACATAAATCCACAAATAATTCATAAATTCTAAACCACTAACAAAATTTCTCCATGATCACATCCTCAAAGTCACAACTTTTGGCAAAAGGGTCCAACCCAATCATTCCATCTCCACCTGCAACTTCCATTTCATTTGGCCAAAATAAGCGGGTTCTTGTGTTGATACATGTGATACCTCATGCATAACTTCTGCAAAGTTCCGATCGAATGCTGCATCGGATTCAGCTTTATATCTATCAACATACTCTGCAAACAGAACAACAACAACAACAACAACAACAAAAATCTACCTCAAGACCTGAAACTATAAGAAAAAAAATTCTCAAACAATAATACAATATCGAACCTGATAATCATCTCCGTATTTGTCGACGAGGCGTCCAATATGAATTCGCTGCATTGCAGTGAGAGGCTGAGGAGGCGCACTTCTACCGTCTTTTCGCCTCTTTCCTAGGGCTGATTTCAAGTCTACACCAACCAAACAGAACACTAAATAATCATTTAAACATCAAAATAAAAACACAATTCGTGACACTAGACAAGTGTTAAAATTTCAAATCAATAATGAATTGTTCGATTCAACGTATATATGAGGATAAAAGGAGCGAGGGAGCAAAAAGAGACCGTCTTCTTCGAGGTCACTGCCGGAATCGATCGATTGGAGAGCGGGAGAGGGGTCGGAGAGAGAGTTGGGGTCGGAGAGGACGCCGAAGGAATGGTAGTTGTGGTTAACTGTGCCTTGGGCGTCCCATTGGGGCTCATCGGCGAGGGATTGCAAGAGCTTCGGTGGAACGGAGAAGGAGGGTTTGAAAAGCCTAGGGTTCTTCTTCGGGAGACCCACTCGGACCTTGGTTCTCGATTGCTTGTATTTTCTTCGCGACCTTCCCATTCTTCTTCCTCCGCGTCGTCTCTCACTGCCGCCACAACAACACCAGGGTTTTAAATTTCCTTTTACTTAGGGCACAAAATGTCTCGTTATTTTACCACATCTTCAGCGACGTCGTTTTCTTTCTCATCGTGTGATTTATATCCATGTTTGCTTTTCTAATGTGTTATAATTTTTGGGTAATCGTGGTTAAATTTTCTGTTAAAAATTTAGGAAGATAAAATAGGTTTAGTTTGATATACCAATTCGAAAAGTACGATAAATAGGTTAATAAATTTATATTTTTTTTAAGTCAAATTTGTTTTGGTTCAATTTTTTTTATTATAATTTACATTAAGTCAAATTAATTAAAAATAATTTATATTATTTTAATAATATATATATATATATATTATAAATTAATTTAATAAAAAAAATTATTTTATAAATAAATATTTAAAATTCACTTTTTTTCATAATTAAATAATTTTTGAAATAAATTATTATTTTAGATCGATAAATAATTAAAACAAATAATAATAAAGAATAAATTTGTAATTATTATTTTAGAATTGAATAAATATTTTTTTATAATTTATATATATTAAATAATTATATTTAAAATAAAAATAATTTTATTAATATAATGTAATTTTAAAAATAGTTTTTAATTAATTATTTTAATATAAAAATCAATATTTTTTTAACTTTTAATTTGGTAAAAAGAAAAAAAAACAGATTAGTTCACTTATGTCATATTTAAAAATATAAGTACTCGACTACTATGTCATCTTTACAACTACCCTTAAAATTAATAGTAGTGATGATCTCATAGTAATGGAATTATTAAATTATTATAAGAATATTTTTAATATGAATAATTCATGAGTTTTTTCTAATATTAAAAAATGTGAAATATTAAGTGATTTTTAAACAATTTATTATTTTAATTTTTTTAATAAATTTTAAAGAATTTATTCTTTTTTATATTTTTTTAAGTTATTTTATTTAATAACTATAAAAATATTTAAAAATTATAAAAAAATTAACTAATTTATCATATTATATATAAAAATTTTAATAAAAAATTACTTTAAAAAATTAAAACTTACATCTAAATAAACAACTTCCATGAAAGATATTTTAGAAGTACGTTAAAACTAAAATAAAATAACATTTATAAAATTTTTAAAGATATTTATTTATCAATACTATAATTAAAAGAATATTTATAGATAATGATTAAAAAATATTTTTAAATATTAAAAATACAAAATTACCTGTAAAAGAATTGAAGAAAAAAAGAATTACAAAACATGTGTAAATATTATATAAATTGATTAATAAATAGAGATAAATAATTAAAAAAAATTATTAAGTGCAATAATTTTTTTACTTTCTTCTTAGAAACCTGATATTATAATAATTTAAATTATAAAATTGCATTCAAACTTTCTTTCTTGATCTTGCTTAAGTTTTTAAATATCTAATTAAGTTTTAAGTTTATGTATGTTGCGTTTTAAAAATCATTTAAAAAGTGATGAAATTAATATTTATCTATCTTTTCATCTTGTTCAATAGTATTTATTACTATAAAAAATTATAATAATTAATTAAATATATTTTTATATTAAACTATTGGTCATTAATATCAATTTTTAAGTTGACGAAGAAAATAATTAGATTTTTTTTTTAAATGTGTCAACTTTCACTTAAATAGTCTAAATATCATAGGATTATTTTTTTTTAAAATACATGAATTGAATTATGTTTAAAAAGACACAAATTGTTTTTAGAGAAAAAAATATAAAGAGATAAAATATTTGGGTGTGTGTTGTTTTAAATAGGACTACTAACATACAAGTTTTAGTTTCGTAAATTTACAAGGAAAAATAACTAGCAAAAAAAAGTGAAAAGAAAGATTTTTTTTAATTCAATAATACAAAAATACAAAAAGAACAAATTATTTTTTATATTTTTTTCTAAAATAATATTAAAAATATTTAATTACTTAAAATCACTTCCATTTTATTTATTTAAATATACTTATTTATTGTGCAGGTTAGAATTCTATTATCAAGAAACCAAATTTCCAATGGAAAATTGTAAGCATGATAGTAAAAAAACAGTCAAAATTCAATTGATGAAATTCAGTTTTTTTATCAAAGAGGGTTAAAAAATTTTGGATTTTATTAAAAGGTGTTAAAAACTTTAAATTTTTCCAAAATAGATTAAAATATGGGAGGTGGGACGATTTCACCCTCAAAATCGTGCTTCCAAACAAGATTTTAATTTATTTTCTTTCAAAAAACATGTTATGAAGTAGGACTTTCTTTTTTATTTTTTGGAAAAAAATGTTTTTTTAATATATTATTTAATAAATAATTATTTTTAATTAAATTATTAATTTAATAAAAAATAAAAATATTTAGACAAACATGGTTAAATTTAATTCACTATATTTAAATTAAAATATTACATGTATATACATTATCAGTGAAAAAATTAATGGTGAGACTTTGTCTCACAAGGTAGTTTTTTTATTTGTCGTCTTGATCTACGTAATTGATCTTGAATAGACCTTTGTTGTGCTTGTGTAGCACACGTGCGATCCTGTGATGGTTGATGTTGAATGTTTGCTTGTCTATCATTATCATCCTCTTATTCAGTGGCAGATCTTGACCATTGATATTGAGGGGGCCAAATAATATATTATTAATAAATAATACATAAATATAAAAGAAAGAAAGAAGATGAAATGGTAAAAAGATAAAATTGTAGATATATACTTAAATATATTAAATGATCATTAAATTAGAGGGTGACAAAATCATAAATTATATGAGAGTTACAAAGCTGAGGAGGGGCTGAGAGGATAAAATTGTAAATATACAAGTAAATATATTAAATGTTCATTAAGTTGGGGGGGGGAAATTCATAAATTACATGGGAGTTACAAAACTTTGGGGGGGGGCACGACTCCCCTCAGCTCCCAAGAAGATCCGCCACTGCTCTTCTTCATTTGCATACTACATAGGGGACATACTAGACATAATAGTCATGAAAGGTGTTTGATTTTATGCTGATGGTTGTGTCATGGAAGAGGTGGAAAACATATTTGTTTCATATGGAAACGAAGTAAATGCATGAGGAACTTGTCCTCCAAATTGAAATTGCGCAGGTAAATTTTGGAGTTGACCAACATAAACAAAATACGGATAAGATTGTTGATGACTCGACTGACTAACATGTTGATGACTTGATTGACCAATATGGACATGACTCGAATGACCAACATAGACATAGGTTCGCCAATATATTAGGGTTGTTCCTGCTGCTCTGTATGGTACTCGTTAAAAAATAAAATCAATATTAGTTTGATATGAATGTTATATATATAAAAAATAAAATTACTTATATACTTACTTCTTCATCTGAATCTTCTTCTTGGGTAGAGGAAATATATTTGATTGTATCTTGAAAATACCATATCATATATGTTTTCACGCAAGTGGTCATTCCCGCTGAATTCGTTTTCTTGAATTAGTCGATTGTGATAGTCATTCCACATAGTAATTCGAGTTTCATGATATTGAGGCCAAAATCTATCAGTTCTACCTCTCATGTCTTCTCTGTGAAGTTTGTCAAGATTGATCGGGTCTTCTGAAATTGATTGGCGAAGTCCAAATTGCCTCATAACCCGATTTGCTGGATGAGACTCAACAATAACAAAACATATCATTAGAATTATAGTGTGACTCACAGGAGAAACCTCAACATTTATTAGTCGTTGTAACCTAGGACAATGATAAGGAGTCCACAAAAACTGTATTATTTTATAGAACTTGTAAAATTAGAATTATTATCATTTAAGAAATACATATTAAAAGTTGTATTAAATAAAATACCCTTTGCTTTTAATTGATCAAATGTTAGTCGTAATACATGTACAACATATGTAATAATGTTGGACCTTTTACCTGGTCATGACCACCTTTTGCATACAAAAAAATATACTATTATAAAATGAAGTAATATGAAAAAAAAGAAATGGAATAAAACAATATAAAATAAATTTGAATACGTTTTAGCCAATGGGAAATTATACCTTGCAGCAAACTCCTCATTGGTTAAATCTTCTACCATAGGACAAATGCATGTAATATGGTCTCATGTCCAAGCTTGGAGCAATAACATGCATCCTCCAATGTTCTCCTGATTGTAGTTAACGTTCTATACAAACATGTCAAAACAGCTAATCCCCAACTATAGTTTGAAACTAGAGTTAGATCCTGCAATAATAAGAGATACATTAAATGCACTCTAAATGTTGAAGTATCTAGCAATAATAAACTCCCTATTATTGTCAATATGTGTGCCCTGGCATGTTGTGCGACAACGTTATCGTCTGCATCATCTAGAAGGTCTTGAAACGAAATGTTTAACCAAGACAATTTTATTATGTTGCCTATATTAACACCTTGCGGTGGGGGCAAATCTAATAATTGTTTGCAAAAGATGGTTAAATCTCCATTATTGAGACCTGTAACTGGTAGTCCATCAATGGGCAAACCTAATTGTAATGTCACATCTTCTAATGTAATTGTGGCTTCTCCGATGGGAAATTGAAAGATGTGGGTTTCAAAATTAATAATACATATTAATAATATTAACAATATTAATAAAATCAAAATTAACAAAAACAAATAATCATAATAATAATAATAGTAATAATAATAGTAAGAATAATAATAATATGAACAAATAATATAAAAGAAATAAAAAATAGCAAAAATAAATATTAATAATAATAACAACAATAATAATAATGAAAATAATAATAATAATAATAATAATAATAATAATAATAATAATAATAATAATAATAATAAGAATAAGAATAAAATGAACAAATAATATAAAAGAAATAAAAAACAGCAAAAATAAATATTAATAATAATAACAACGTGATATTAGTTATTAATATCAGCTAACAGAATGATGAATAATATCAACTATTAATA